GGCCCAGATTGGCATAAGCCGCTCTGGTTTTCATTATACGTGCATCAATCTCATCACTCACGCCACCACCAGCACTTATGTAGCTACCTAGATACACGAACTTCTCGACTACTTCAATCTGCTCACCATCTAGGGTGAGTACATGATGAGAATCCTGCCAGTCTTGTAGAAGTACTTTGCACTTGGAGGGTGCAAAGCACATACCGTACCTGCGTACACTGATTGCCAACTGAGTAAGTGCGGATTGCATGCCTTGGGCATAATCGCACAGTAAGACAATATCATCCGCATACTCGAGGTCGAGAAGTCGTTCTCCAGGCAACATATCCACACCGCCATTACTTACATCCATCAGAGCTGTTTCCAAGATGTCGTCGATGGCAAAGTTGAAGAGGAATGGTGAGATCGGGCAACCCTGCCTAACCCCACTGCTCGAATGGAACAAGGGAGAAAGGTGGTTGTATGCCCTCACTCTGCCTGAGGTGTTCGTATACAGGGCCTTTAAGATGTTAATGAACTTCTCAGGCACACCCTTCTTCAATAGACAATCCCAGATAACAGTCCTGTCCAACGAATCGAAGGCCGCCCTGATATCAAGAAACACTACGATTGTTGGCCTGCGATAAGTATGACGGTGTTCTAACATTTGGCGGAGGGTGAAGATGTGATCAATGCATCCTCGACCAGAACGAAAACCAGCCTGCTCCTCGCGAGTCAATCGTTCTCGGGTTTTAAACAACCTACGAAGAATGATAGAAGCCAATAGTTTGGACGCAATCGGAAGATAACTTATCCCCCGATAGTTATTGCAGGAACAACGTGAACCCTTTTTAAAGATAGGGACGACTATCGACTCATTCCATGATGTTGGAACACTTTCTTGCTCCCAAACCTTTGCAAACAACGCAGTCAGTTCCTTAGCCAGAAAGTCACCACCATCTTTAAAAAGAGCCGGAGGTAAGTCATCTGGGCCAGGTGATTTGTAAGGTTTCAAGAGTTGGAGTTCCTTGCGGACTTCCGCCTCGTTTGGTGGATCAGTCGTCACCGGCCATGATTGGCATCCCGTCATCCTCGTAGATTGTTTCACTCACACCAGAATTCTTGCTGCCAGTGGCTGGGATGAGTTGGAAGAGCTTCCGGCAGTTACCAGATGCAGCTGCTGCTTCCATCTCATTAGCACGCTCCGACCACCAGGCTTCTCGGTCCTTACGCAAGCTTTGCCCAATTTTATTACGTAACAGCCTTCGTTTGTGGTCAAACTCACGGTCACCCGGAGTAGACCGACGGGCTTCCATCAGTTGTAAGGAGCCAGAAGAAACCTAGTGCTTGTAAGCGGGACGTTTCGCGAAGCCGCAAGCGGCTTTACTCGCCATTTTCATGGCGTCGTGAAGATGCAACCAATGCTCATCTATACTTTTCGGTGGGATGGTAGCTAGCCTAGAGGCTAGCTCCGCTCGATACTTACTTGCAACAGATGTTGCAGCCAGTTTACTAACATCGATCCGTTGGTGGTGGTCAATCCTTTGGCCACTGAAAAGTAAGGTGAGATTGGCGCAGACCAGGACATGATCAGACTCCAGACAGGTAGTCCAAAGGGAGCGGCAGTCTTGTACACAACCACGCCAGCGGGTGCCCAAACCGAAGCAGGTGGTTTTCTTAGGAAGTCACACCCCGAGCCTTTGACCTAGAGGTCTGATCCACAAGGCAGTGGAGCATCGTGAGGAGATGCAGTCCCATGGTAGCCGTTGACCAACAACAGGTTCATTCGCCATTCGTTCCATCAGGATACTGGAGCCCATGTGCACCATTGGTTTGGAATCAGGGTTTTCCAACTCCCCTAGGTGAATCCTCCACATCCACTAACCCGGTTATAGCGCTGGGCATTCGCTTTTCGTCCTCTCACTTTCGTAAGCAACACCCCCACCATGAGAAGGCAGTGAGTAGGACTTCCCTGGCAGAGACTATATATTCGCTGGCCATGTGAGAGCATTTCGAGAGGGAGAGTAGACTCTCCCCACTCTCGGCCGTACCAGGGCATTTGGGGCCAATGGATCACGAAAGTTACCATTCATTATTCTTATGGGGATATAACACACTTGTCCATGTCCCACTAGATTTAAATATTCAAGAGAAATGAAAATCAATTAATTTCCGTTGATTAATTGGGTCTAAATCGTGTGTCTTGTGAAATATCGTAACATTTAATAAAGGTCAGTACTCATTCCTAGACTCCAAAGTTACATCCAGTTCCATGGAGAAAGTATCACTGTGACTGTTACAAAACAGGTGTCTGAGAGATGTTACTATCCAAAACCAATTGAAAGGTTATGTATAGCTTTCTCATTTGTCACTTCCTTTTTTTTCCACCACTGGACTTCCCAAGAGGATTCTAGAGAAAGTGAATGATGATAATAGTAACTTAAGATATAATGCGTTCCATATCACCGAACTACAAATTAATCTTACCTTACAGGTTGGGACACTAACTTGCTCGATAATAGGATGACACCGCTGGATATGTTAGCCCTTGCATGAAGCCTAAATAGCTTCAACGAGCAATGATCAGTATAGCGTGGGGTAGTGACATCAGTCAACTAAATAAAAAGAACTCATTTATGCCTCTTAAATATTTTACGCGTTTCAAAACCTTTATATAATATTCAAACCTAAATTTTGTAAGCTCGATCATGGTTATCTTCGAAGGATTGCTGACATCCAGTGGCAACACCATGTTAGTAATACAGAGGTTCGGCATCGTGCGTTCAGGCGCTGAGACGATAATCCAATTGGGTCACAATCTTGAAACACCGACTTCAGTTGCTTGGACATGTTCTACGAATGTCGTCTCAGAGAATTCTTCGTCCTGCATTATTTGCCGACTCTGGGACTGAATGGAAAACGCGGAGAGGTGTTCAGTGTATGACATGTTGTCGTGGTATGAAAGAAAGCTGCAAAGGGTTGGGTTCTGTTGGTCCTTCACGACTCCCTGGTTGGGGTCCTAGAGATGGTACGACACAGTGGCTAGAGACGTTATCAGATATGGCTCAGAATAAAAGCGAGTGGCGATAACTTCGTTAACTGAAAGAGATATGGTTGTACATTTCAGTTTCCCACATCTTTACTTTTATTTTTGTTCTTTATTCTTTTAAATTATATCTATCTATCTATCTATCTATCTATCTATATATATATATATATATATATATATATATATGCATCTTACCCCTTTTCTCTTCCCATTCTCATTGCTTTGTGTGGCGCACATATATTTGATGCCCCTTTCTACCAATATCTATGTTTAAATGAATAAATAAATAAGGCGTGGGGTAATGACACCAGTCAACCTCTTAAATATTTTACGCGTTTCAAAACCTTTACATAATATTCAAACCTAAATTCTGTAAACTCTAAAATCTTACAATATCGCTATTATATTGAGTTCGTATTTACTGTCAACACAAGTTTCTGTGTGAACGAAAGGTTAAAATAAGTGACATTCCTCGTTCTTGTAGAGCTATGAAGTCAGTAATCTGCGATTTTCGATCTTTGCATGCCTTCCGTTTTGAAAACTTTACTATTTCTTAGTGTAAAAGCTTCACTGTGAATATAGCGTTCCAAATGTATTGCGAACTATGATAGTTATCCGACAAATACGACTTAACTGCTTTCAGTTTCCCACATCTTTACTTTTATTTTTGTTCTTTATTCTTTTAAATTATATCTATCTATCTATCTATCTATATATATATATATATATATATATATATATATATATATATATATGCATCTTACCCCTTTTCTCTTCCCATTCTCATTGCTTTGTGTGGCGCACATATATTTGATGCCCCTTTCTACCAATATCTATGTTTAAATGAATAAATAAATAAGGCGTGGGGTAATGACACCAGTCAACCTCTTAAATATTTTACGCGTTTCAAAACCTTTACATAATATTCAAACCTAAATTCTGTAAACTCTAAAATCTTACAATATCGCTATTATATTGAGTTCGTATTTACTGTCAACACAAGTTTCTGTGTGAACGAAAGGTTAAAATAAGTGACATTCCTCGTTCTTGTAGAGCTATGAAGTCAGTAATCTGCGATTTTCGATCTTTGCATGCCTTCCGTTTTGAAAACTTTACTATTTCTTAGTGTAAAAGCTTCACTGTGAATATAGCGTTCCAAATGTATTGCGAACTATGATAGTTATCCGACAAATACGACTTAACTGCTATTGGTACGTATTATTGTTCAAATATTTAATTTCAGAATCGGACTGGTTGCGCGCAAAACAAAGCATAAAACACCAATGGGAGTTTTTTCTATCAGTTTATATTGTTTTTCGTCAAATGCTTTTGATTCCCCTTTATGACTATCTGCTTCGTATATCTACTGTCTGAATAAACTAAGAATAAGTGCTAAACCATACACTTTCAAACTTCTATCGTGTTCGTCGTCCAATTAAAAGTTACAGTTCATTTCCCGTTAGGCTTCCAGCTAATATCCCTTTCTTTTCCGACTGTTCAGGAAAATGGACAATAATGCCTGATATTTCTGTGAAAGAAATATAGTATTTCATAAGAAACGCGCTTTCCACGTCAGTCACCTCCCATCTACTTCAGTATAGGACTTCTTGGTCGTAGGGATTGGTTTTATACCTAGATATTTTTGTTTCTTGGTTTAAATGATAGTATGCTAGGTCCGCTCAACAACACTATTCTTTGTGTGAATGTGCCGCTAGCTTAAAAGTAACAAATACTCCCATAATTTATAAAAGACTATTGGTTGTCTCCTATGTGGTTGTTACACTTCTGCAGGTGGCTCGTAAATAAGTACCTGAACCTTATTGATTGAATCACACCTAAACTGGGATAACTATCTCAGTCACCAAACCTTAACATTAATTCAGATTTCTAAACAGAAGGCTCGAATTTTTCCAGCACAAATTCTTTCATTTTTGATGGGTTTTGTTAATGGTTTTTTTTTCAATTTTCATAGTTGTTAACAAACCTGAAATATTACAATGTACTGCTCCATTTAAAAACAGAAAAGACGATGAAGCTAAAAAACTCGAATCAGGAGATACGTTATCTTTAGTTTACGAACTTCAACGGCTTGGTAACCACATCCTAAACGTTGCTGATCGTATGCAAAAGACGTTTTCTGCCAACAACTCTATGGACATAGCTCTCACTAACTGTAATCGACCTGAGATAGTAAACAAAAGAGGCGTAAGTATTATCTTGCATCCATTTTCCACTCAGAAAGATTGTTATTTTTCAATTGATCATGGTTAACACTTGGTAGCAATTTACTGAGACGTATACGAGTCTAAACTGCTATTCATATTTACTTGCTGTTGTCCCTTGCCTGCACCACCTTTTCGTTGCTGTACTTTTGATGCTTTCGGTAGAATCATCATGTCCCCACGTTTCTAAACCTACAGTCAGAATACCAGAAAACCGATCGAATAGTCACGAGCAATTTCATTACATGCACCCATAACTCACGATAATATGTTTAGGTGAAATATCAAGACAACCCTAAATAATAAGTTTTATTGCGTACACAACTAGGATATTTGCAGTCCCAAACCGTGCAATAGATTCTTAGTTGATTGATAGCAATCTATGAGCGGCAAAAGTGACAACGTTAGTCAATAGGTCAAAAATAGCTTGCTGTCCGGACTACACAAAAGTCCCACAAACTAAATTTTTAATAAATACAAATTAGTGGTTTATTAGCTTATCGAAAAACAAATCAAATTTCCTTTTATTCTTGTTCCATCCTATCAACTGTTATATGTAATGTTTAAGTGGTAACTTACGAATTTTGGCGTCCTTACAATGCGAAAGCTGACAATAATATCATATCGATGCAGTAGTATTTTGTAGAGTTCAAAATGTGTTGAGAAATGACATGGTGATCATTTTATTGGTACGTAATGAAATAGGTTATTCAGTTCATATAATTCCTGAATACCTATTCATAACCAATAAATTTTCAATATTGTATGAAACACCACGGGGCATAAAGAGAAATAGTTAACGTTGCAAGTTACAACCTCATCAAATCTAGATTCTGCAGCTTTCTGATCGAAGATCTCCATGAGTAGTATTGAACACTACATTTATGTAACTCTTGATTATTGTGCAGCTTCTGTATATTACAGTCTGAATAACGTTGAACAAACCACTTGATTGTTTTAAAAGATTCAGCGGGAAACACCTTTATGCTCATCCAATTCCTAAGTCATTAATGTATCTGTACAGTGTCGTTAACTCAAATATGTCCTTCTACGCCTAATTTAGAAAATGATTATATTTTTCTCTTTTGTCACAGCCAATATGCAACCCGGAGAGTAACAAGGAATTCGATCCGTTATCTAATGTTCGGTCTACAGATGTTACAATCTCTTCTCCGAATCCACCCATCTACTTGTCATCAGTCAACAGTTCAGATGACATTTCGAAATCAGAATCTTGTGTACGTGTAGATAGTAGTGATTTTAGCATGATTTTTAATTCACACAAGACGCGTGACTGTGCTTCTCTGTATTGTGGTTAACTTGCGACTAAAACCTAAAATTAGCCTTTCATTGATCACGTCGATCTGGGTAACCGGAAGTTACCAGCCAATCACATAACACAATTAAACTTTAGTTAAAATAATGAGTAGAATTTTGACATGTGTTGTTCACCCTAATTACTATTTCAAAAATCACCTCAACATCAGTGAAAGTCGTCACTTTGAAGTAGATCCTGTCATAAGCAATATATGGCAAATTTCTTGAGTATATTAGTCATTTTGATTGAATATAGACTAATTTTATTATAACAACTGTTTGATAACAAGTAAACTAATCACAACATCGTTTGGAAATTACCTTATACCCACCATATTTTACATATTATGATCTTTAGATCCTATATATCCTCAGGATCTGCTAGTGTAACTTTCAATGTAGGTTCCCATGAAATCGGGAAAGCTAGGTGAAAAGGTCGAACCACAGTTAATCTCTCTATTAATCTGTCAGTTAACTTTTGTGGTCAAGACCACAAACGTAATCACATGAATTGTCTCCACACAGTTAGATGTCAGAAGTTGGAGTAGATGTAGTAGATCGATCCATCAATTTTTCCCCTCAATAAGATGAATAGGATACGTAATAGATGTTTTCACCTACCTCCTCTAAATTTCTGTGTTGGTTAGTGTAGCGGTAGTGACATCATGATGTATCAGGTATCCATGGATTCTTCGACAGTTGATTTAGACCGTACATGGAGGTGGAGGCCTTCTACTTGGTCCTTACAGGCTTTTCAATATATTTTTTACGTAATAGAATCCTAAATCGATTGTGGTTATCTACATACTGTCATTCCTTATAATCTCCAAAATCTTAGACAATGTCATCCCCATATTTCCCACTCTATTGTTTCGACCTGTATCCTTCATGTTTAATTTACTACTATAATTAATATTGTTGTTTCGAATTCTTTCTGTTAGTCCCCTCTCTCTGTGATGCACTTTTGAGTCTAGGTTTTATGTTTGTCCCTACTATTTTTATGCAACTTGATTCAATTATGCTGTTTACTTTATGAACATCAGTCCACCCATCACATTCTCTTTTTGCCTCTAGGAATTCTACTCAGAAGTATTTGTATAATTAAGTGATATTTTAAAGACTATTGACAAAGTCTTAAAATAAACGCTACAGCTTGATAACGTATTACTAGTTAAACCAGATTTCTTTTTACATTTTATATAAATATTTGACTGGACATTTCCAACAAAATCATCTTCCTAACTAAACACAAGAGTTGAAAAATTCAAAAGAGAACGCTGAATGATCATTAGTCAAAGAGCAAGTAAAGGAGTAAAATTATTAGGGTAAGAGCACTCTGAAAAACTTGTGGTTTGATAATTACAGTTGAAACAGAATGTACTCGACATGTATCATCACTAATGTGTAAAATTTATTTTAAAATATAAGGTAATCCTGTTTACTTGCCGAACGTTGCTTAAGGTTGTCTCCTATATAGTGTGATTGCAGACCTTTATTCCCCATATTTTCATCCTGTCATCTTAACACGTCATAGGATGGTTTAGTTTATTGCAGATCAAACAAAAACATTTCAGTACTTTTGTGCATCAGACACCTTGTTCTCACTTGATAAAATGTAACTTTTTGTATGTTCTAAAATAAACTACTAACTATTTCAGGAAAATTACATGGTTTCCAAATCAACTTTCTCAACAGCTGGGTCGTTAGATAACGAGGGGCTAAATTCGTCTAAAAAATCTGCTGATCATGACCCTATAGATCTCCAAGCACCTACTACATTTAGTCATTCTAATGCAGAAGCGGTCCCATCGGCAGTGCTTAATAGTAGTTCTACACTCTCCACTACGATACTGCCGTCTCAGGGTCAACCGTTGACACCAAATACTCAGATAATATCATCATTTTATCAACAACCTTCAGGACATCAAAACCATCTTCCCACCCAGTCTCAAGTACAACCCTCAATACCTCTATCCTCTCAAAACTCAGCACAACCTAAAGTTGATTGCAATGATACTCCTAGGATGCCTAACACATCAACTCCGACGTTACAACAGCATAGTACGCCATCTTTCAGGGTACGTCATTTTAGTGTTTTTTGTGAACATCATACCGTTCAGTTCAATTTGTAAACAATTAAACAGAAGGCTTTTCGGTTCTGAAGCTCTTATATCACCTGTCAGATTTCGTTTTAGCGGGTCCTTAATAAAAATCCAGAATATTTTACATTTTCTGACTAGGGTGGTTTAGTAGTCACGGCGTTCAACTTCCAAGCCCTACGTTATTATTTCGAATTCCGCTGTGTAGTTCATTTTCGGCTGCTCAGTTAATTAGTATCAGTTACTTAATTATTCTTACCGTGGTCTTACCACGTAAGAAGTATCAACGTCGAGATATTGCAATAATGCAATGTTGCACCTAAATCCATGAAATTAAAGAAAATAAAAACATGTTTAGATCAGTCTTGGTCATTCCATTTCACACTCATATTGGCGTCAGATACAGTTTAGAAAATATCAGTAACATGGAAATAAAACAATTAACTAAATGGAAATAATTATTACCTGATATAATCCGATCATTATAATCTAAATATTATCTGAACAATTACATGTTTAACATTACATTCAATTATATGTCAAGAAAAATTTGCTTTGTAAATAACTTCGTTTGTTTACGTGTAGAAGGCAGTATTATAATGTAGGGATATCTTACGAATAAGACTTTCCTTCGGTGAATGTGTCGCGGACACGCGTTGTTTATGTGTTCTGCGCTGAGACGAAACGGCCAGTGAATGCTGTTTGGTTTTTATTGGTGGTCTGACATTGTTCAGTTCATGATCTTAATCAAGATGTTTACAAAATCCACAAGCCTCTACTGATAATTTTATTCGATGCTCGGAAAGAACTCACTTTTGCATTTTTGAAATCCCGACACGTTTTAGTCGGTACAGTCGTGGTAGTTAGTAGCGTTTCTAAGGGTAGGAGTTGGATGTTTTTACTAATTCCGTGAGTAATGTTCAGACCGCTAGCAAAACCAATTTATCACGTCTTTAGAAATGGATCGCATTCGTGATTTAGCATTTGACAGAAAGTTACTTGTGTAGTTACCACAGTAGATTCGAACTTAGACTTTCCAAAAATAAGTGAATTCACTTTGGACCCCGACAAACGGCGCTTGACATTTCAAGTAACATTTAATTACATCGCAAATAAATAACACCGCGATAATGGAGTAGGTAGACTTATTTCTCAAGCGTTCCTCGAAGAGAAGCGTGCACTCCCACTGGAATTAGACTTCCTATCAACTTTACATCCATATCCTTTGAGAGTTTCATTGATACCTCATGTATTTATTCCTTGAGCCTTTTGCGTTCATCTTCAGGTAGTTCATAAGACATGTGTCTTAAATTGAATACTTCATTGGATTTCTGGTAATCTTGACTTAATTACATCAACTTAATTTAATGTGGGACGTTTGAAAGAACGATAGTTAGGATGTATATAGTTTTAAAGATTAAACAATTTACTTCTCAATATCTGAATTTTTTATATCCTAGTGAAGAAGTAAGTACGGATAACTTCCGGGACCTATTAGTGGACTATTATTCTATATATATTCCTATTGTATAACTATTCAGTAACTAGATTATATATATATCTATATTCATCATATTATAAGCTTCATTTTGACTTATTGATTATTATTATTCTACGATTTACTGTTCCTAAATTATATTCAATTTATTGATTACTGTCTCCCATGTTCACAGCCACATTTGGCTTTATCTTGTACAAACCAATGGATTTTTACTAAGTCTTTTGCAAAGTAGCTTCTCGTAAACTCATCACATAAGTCAAGTGTTAGTGAAACGATCTCGGAGAAAGACGGAACCCTTATCTGCTATCAGCCCAGACGTTTAGAACGATGGGCTGAACACTTTAAGGAGCAGTTCATCTGGCCTTCAGCTACCCAAAAAGTCTGAAGGGAACATTGATGTAGGTCCGCAAACTCTAGCTGAAGTATAAAAGGCTATAGTTAATCGGAAACCAGGAAGAGCGGTTGGTCCAGATAGATTGGCTCCAAATGTCTTAAAGTGTGGCGGTTTAATTTTAGCGACTAGGTTGACTAATATTTTGGCTAAAATCTGGGAGTTGGATGTAATCCCATCCAACTGGTCATAATCACTGATTGTCTCAATATATAAGAAAGGATCGAAATCAACCTGTAATAACCATAGAGGGATTAGTCTGACTAATATAGCATCTAAAATACTAGCCTCAATAATTATCGGGCGCCTAACTAAGACTCGTGAACTGTAAACACGAGAAAATCAAGCTGGCTTCAGACTTGGTCGTGGCTGTATCGACCACATATTCACTATTTGTCAGGTTGTAGAGCACAGACATGCTTATCAGCGTCTGACAATGATAGTTTTTCTTGACTTAAAAGCAGCATTTGACTCGGTAGACCACGAGGCTCTGTGACAGTGTTTGTTATTGAATGCTGTACCTCAGAAGTACATAAACCTTGTGAAGACTCTTTACTCGAACTTTACCAGCCAAGTCAAAGGTTAGGGCTAACTGTCATCTGACTTTGCAACCACAAATGATGTTAGGTAAGGCTGTCCACTATCCCCATTTTTGTTTAACCTCATCATAGATCTACTGCTGGAAGTAACACTCGTCGACTGAATTTTTAGGAATTGATCTCCTACCAGGAAGTCCAGAAGACATAATCCTGTTTGGTGAAGACGCTGATGAAATGCAGAATCTTCTGTTAGCACTGAGTAATAATACCAGGATGTTTGGGATGCGTTTCTCCTTCTCCAAACGCAAATTGTTACTCCAGGACTGGTCGGTGTCAACACCTGAAATAAAGATAGGTAATGAAGTAGTCGAACGCGTCGACAACTTCACTTATCTTGCAAGTCTGATCAGCCCTAATGGGTTGGTGTCTGACGAAATCTCAGAACGGTTCCAAAAGCTCGCTTGACTTTTGCCAACATACGTCACCTATGGCGAAGACGAGATATCCGTCTGTCACTTAAGGGACGAGTATACTGCGCAACAATCTGTTCCGTGGCCATTAAGAGTAGAAGATACTCGTAAGGTACAAGTATTTGGCCACAGATACCTTAGAAATATTGCTCGCATCTGCTGGGATGACCGGGTAAGTAATAGTAAGGTTAGACATAGTGTATTGGGGAATGATGGTAAATCAGTTTATGAGGTCATGAATCTTCATCGACTGAGATGGTTGGGCCACGTGTTACGTATGCCTGAACACCGATTACCACGACACGCTATGCTGACTAGGGGCGGCCAAACGAAAACATGGCATCAGTGCTTGAAGTAACTGACTTCTCGTCTAAGCCATGTTGGCAGATGCAGACTACTTGGTTGAAGTCCTCGTGACTATCGTAATTAATGTTTGGAGACTCTAGGTGACATGGCTCAGAATCGATCACAATGGCGTAGGTGTATAAACTCTTTATTTTCCCTTGAACCTTGAGATTAAAATTGCTTCTTATCTATCTTTCTTCCTGTACTACATCCTTATATACAATGTTTCTTTTATATGTTACAACCATTAAATTAACTACTTCTATGAATCTGGTGTTCATCTTGTTGTGCTAATGAGGTATGGCAACTTGGACCGATGCATATATGTGCCTGGTCCTACGTTGCAGCTGACTGACTGCTATTTGTACTCTGTGATGCCATGCTCACAGATATCATGGTTCTTCTGTGTTATGCTGGTCAGTTAAAACGAAAGTGATCAGTGTTCCACAATATTTCTTTGCTAATGCATCAAGAATATTCTGTGTAGACAGCATCTTATGAATATTACTACTTTGTCGGTCCTTGGGGGGTTAGTGGCTCATCGAGTTTCACCTCGTTAAATTGAAACCGTTTAAACGTTAGGGTTAAACATATCTTGTTTGTGTATCAAAAGCACTAGAATATGTCCGTTTATTCTGTGATTCGAACTATTTTATCATCCCTATCCTGTTGATGGTCTTAGGCTCGAGTCCCGCGTGCAGCTTTGTGGACGCGCATTACCGAAAAGTTATACACCGGGATGAAACCGCCATCAAGTGCTTCCAGATATTGGCTAACAGTCGTTCTTAGTTCCATGTGATCTTCAGTCGTAAGAATGCCACGCTCACTTTGTCAATTAATGCCTTCACGCCTGCGTCAAATCCTCTTTGTTCATCAGTGTTGCTTCTCAGGTGCATGGAAGCGTCCACCTCTTCCAGTGCTCCGTCGAGTGTAATTTGGTTGGTGCTCACTGTGCTGTATTTCAGGATCTTGCTTTCACCATTTTGGACGTTGAGACCTACTACTACGGAAACGACAGTGGCACTGTATATTGACGCTCAAGCGTCCTATCAAAATGTGTCAGGTGTCTTCCTGGGAATTTCTATAAGATAAACTACAGCCCCTTGTAAAGATTGTCTTTGTCATATTCGCCGCTGTTTTGAAGGGTGTCATGATGATCCTGATGCCGTTAGTTTTCCATCCTATAAGAGCTTTTGTGCTTTTTTGGACGGTATCAGTGCAATTCGTTGTGTATGTGGTGCACTTTCTTCTTCGTGATCGAAATACAACATCATCTTTCCTGAAATTAGTCTTTTTTGTCCACATTATGTCTAATAGGATTCATGCATTTCAAACAGCACAAGATTATATCTTATTTTCGCCGTTTTTATGGTTCTCTGAGTCTTCCACATTGTGTAGATAATCCTTGATCCTATATTAGTTTTTGCTCTGTTTTTCGGAAGAGGCATCGGCTTCGTGGCTTTGCAAGAATCTCGCCTTTCATCTTGAAGCATCCAAACTGTTTATATGAATACCTTTCAACTCAGGAAATGGATTTTATTTTTCCATGATTAGCCATATTTTCTTTGGGTTATCTTATTTCCTCTGTACTGGTCTGAAGACTGGAAGTAGACATCAGTGGAGTTAAATGGGGTTCAAAGAGTCTTTGATAACGGTTTCAACCAAAGAATGTGTACATCATATTGACAAGCTGAAAACGAGTTTAACTGCAAATAGAGTTTACGAAAAACAGACTTCCTCACTATTTAAACAAGCGAGTGACATTTTAAAAAAGTTCAGTATTTAAAGAAATGCAGTAGTTTCCTTTCTTTGTTAAACGTATGATCTCTTCTTGTTTATTTATTATTAGTTATAAAAGTTTGTTTTTGTCGATTATCAGCCTCCCGGTTTAGCTAACATGCCACCAAATATGGGTCCTTACGCTCGTCAATCTGGAACACTACCAAACACCAATAGACCTTTGGGTATGCTTGTAACCCCTCCAAATCCATCATCTAACATGTTTACACCTGTAATTCCACCGTGCGATCCTTCAGCTGGATTAGGGACACCACAGCGTCCAATTATGCCGCCTCTTTCAGGCTCTCCTAGGAATTCTACGACACAAAGTGCAATACAGTCCACACCTATGATTCCACATGTGAGTTTCCTTGCCAAACTATTTGTCTTTATATTATCCTGTACCGATCTCTGATTTATATTATCTTTTGAATGGAATATTGTACATTATTCACGTTTGTTCATCGATTATATGATAAATAAATTATCCGGCCTACTGTCTAATTCAGTAATTTAACTAATGAATCGTAACATAATTATTAAATATAACATAAACGTATCGATACAATCCCATTCACGCCTTGTAATAAAATGAAAATGAGAACTTACCGCTCGCAATTTATTTAATTGTTAGGTGAACTAAATATGTAACAAGCAAAACAATCACTATCCACATTATTTTTTGGAGTGTATCATTGATCTTATGTTATTCCATAATTTAACTGATGGCGACTGCCACTTTTTCCATTTACTAGGTTCAGCATAAGTATTAATATTGTTTGAGTTATAAAGTATCGTTTTACATTTTGTTTTTCTCAACAGGGTATGTCATATCCACCTATGTATCCCCCTCCAGCTCAAAGTATGAATTCTTCGACACGTCCCACGTGTCCTCCAATTCAAAATACTTTTGTATCGGGTTCCTACAATTCAATGCATTCTAGTGCTGCTGTTCCTGTAACATCACTAAACAATATCTTATCAAAAGCAAGCCCGGCTCCTAATGAGACTCATTATTACACTCCATCCTATCCTAATTATCAATAATGATGCCTTATTCTTACTCCAAGGTGCTTACTGTTTAAGCTGGTCTGTCATTCGATAGCTTCACATCGTGATGTGACATACAGTTATTTAGAATTTCCTAAATTTCAGCATATTTTGCGTTAAGTCCACACGCAGATTGATTACTTTGGTTTATGGTTACATTATATTTTGATTATAAACCCCTTAAAAATGATATTTTGAATTCAATTTCTTTTACACTTGGTTTCTTATCAATTTTGGTCAGTAATATGTATTAATCATGTTTTGTGGTTTTATTTCATCTTTTACTGCAGTTTTGTAATGGTTATCGCATTGTGTATAATTTGGAAGGGTATATCCATCACAGTCTGACTTAATCATCCTTCATTGTAACCACAAACATCGAAATTAGGAAGTTGTGTGTCACAATGAACAAAATAGTTCTGCGATTTCTGGGATGTATGTTAGAAATTTTTTTTATTGTACTGGGATTTAAACTTCAGTAGTTAAACGATATATTTGAAAATACACTATATTCCTCGTAAAACTATAAGAAATCAAATGTCTCGTGTTTTGCAGATATTTCTTAGTAGTTCTATAACTCTTAAGTTGGAAGTCTCTATAACCTTTATAAGTATTCATGTTAGTGTTTGGTTGTATTTTTCTGGATTCACGATTTCGATGTGTTACTAATTTTTTATATTCTCAATACATATTCATATTACGCTTCGTAGAAAGTTACACAGTATGTGCATAAACCTGTCAAACTACTATATGACATTCATCGCATGTTTACTGAATAATCCCCGCATATATAAATTTGATCAAAACTGATGTTGGTTGTCGAAAAAATCAGTTCGTTAGGTATAAAAATATGAAGATGTGTCAGATAAAGCTAATTGAACAACAATGTTAATGTCAAAAGGACCATCCATGTTAGCACTATTCATTGTGCACAGAGTACGTCTAGCTGTAATTTATACTACTAATGTTTTCATGTTCCCAACTTCAGCAAAATCGTGTTATTGTGCGACCATTCATTGCAATCGATAATTCCTGTCTCATAACCTACATGGTTCAGTTCTATCCTGGTCATGCATTTCCACAAAACTTCAGTTTTACTCAAAGTTGGTCATTAATGAACGCATGGCTATCGTAGATGCTGTCTATTTTGACGGTAATGTATAACAATCCAATAAAGTCTAGAAGCCCCATCTAATAAACCTACCCACTGTATTAAGTTCGACTGACGAAATCCATAATTCGACAACTCATATCTTTAACCCGAATGCAATTTAAACAGATTTCGAAACTTATGTAATGGAATGAATAAGTTTCTCTCAGATTATCATACTTCCTCGAGTTGATGTGGAGACAGTCTATGTAATGTATCTATTCCTGACACCTCATTTTGGTGTTGATCCGAGCAAGTAAAATCCCATCTCACATCAACTGATATTGAAACATTTAAGTGATATGATGCATACAATCAGCAATAAACTAATTAATCAAACTGCTTTCTAAAAGCTGGTCTGTATGTAAATACGTCAGATAGCGAGCAACAGGCGTTTATTATTTTATTTACAATTGAGAATACATCGCATATTGTCTAATTTTACGGAAAAATAAAATACAAATGAATGAATGATAAGCATTTTTGACAAACAAATACAGTTCGACTTAAAAACGGCGACGATGTAGTCCATTCAGGTATGAGTCCAAGCTAAGTTAAAATAAATTGCGGTAAGCAAAGATGGTCCTATGCAGGTACATCCAGCTGACGAGTCCCGAATGGGACAAAACGCGCATTCTGGATTCCACCTCTAGCTACTGTCCATCTTTGCTTATAATGCTTGTAAATTAAGGCTATATCGAGGCAATACGCGCAGTATGCACATATACCAATAACAGACTGATTATTTGCAGTTTTAGAAATCAATGGGAAGATCCAAACAAACAATACCAAGTGAATTTAAATTGCGGTAAGTTTATTATCTTTTGATTTCCGGTCAGAAGATACTGATCTCTCAGCAAAGATATGCAACCAAGTCCCACTTCCTTTGTTTATATTACCAGGTCAACTGTCCCTGTGGAACCACTAACATTAGAGTGCGGATTATAGGTTCGTTAACGCGTTACATGTTTACATACGGGGCTGGTGGATATGTTACCTTCTATTTTATCGTATTCAGGCCACAGAACCGATATAAAGGTCGTTAAGTAACTACTACCTAGCCGTACGGTGCCAGGATTCATTTCTTACATGGAGCGGATTGCATAACTTAGCTCGATCTTCGTGTAGGAAAAACGTTAGGACAGCTTTTACATCCTCCTTATCATGTACTTAGTTGTGAAATGGCACTGACGTTTTGCAACCTTATTTTTGTCCAGATGTAGTCTGTTATTTCAGTTGGTTTGCCTGATTTTTTGTCTGCATCAGATCTATAACAACATATATACGAGGTATAGTAAAGATCTAATTTTAAGAGGCATTTTGTCCTTTAACTTATTTTGCTACAATCCAGATTCAAATCTCAGTAGTTTTCAATAGGTTTCTGAAGTGTCACAAGTATAGGCAGGGGTGAAGATGTCTATAGTGCAGTTGAACTAAATGGAAGGATATGAAGTTATTCTTCGAACTAGGAATTCTTTAATTCTGAATCGGTAAAGCAAAATTGCTAGGGTATACTAATTGTTACTGCATTTCAAGTAGTAAGCGCGATAGGATGGGAAAACATAGGAACATGTGTGTATAGTTGTCAACATTCAGTTCCTCCACAAAGCCGAGTGTCAACAATCAGCACAACCTACTTCGCTGCATCTCACGCCGGTCGTATCATAGTCAACGAGCTTGTTCTCTGTCATACTTCTGGAAACCTCATCTTGATCCCGATGAGCATATTCTAGCAGTGAGATAGACGCATCACAAACGTGCGAGCCATGTATTACTATTTTCCCCTCAAACTATGCTGTTAATCAACCTGTCATTGGTATCAATATTATTAAATAACACACTGAATAGCCTAGCTATAGCGTTCTCTTACACTGCATAGTAAAGCCTCGAACTCCCAGATAGAAGTTTGGATTCCATCATCCTAGCTTTCTCAGGAATTCGTATGCAAGATAGGTTGCGAAAAACATAGATGAGCATTACCAATAAAAGATGTGGACTACCTGGTGAGGGTCTGCATGATTTTGATAACCAGTAAGAAAGTTTGAATAATACGGTTGAGGATCGTTTTGCGTGGTGCGAGTTCATAATCTTCCTACAAATTTGAGACCTATGTATCCCTCACGATTTTTCCATACCTCACTATTTCATATTTCCTTGGGTCGTGTGCTCTATGCCTGATTCTTCTCATTGTTTGTTACTACCTATACTATCCTGAGATTGGCTGAAACAAATCACATTCTGCTAACGGTGTATAACAACTTCAGGTCAGCAGCATTTGACTCTGTAGACCGAGAGGTTCTGTGGCAGTGTCTGTCATTGAAAGGTGTACCTCAGAAGTGCATAAACCTTGTGAAGGCTCTTTACTCGAACGCTACCAATCAAGTGAGAGCTTATGGCGAACTGTCATATGATTTTACAACCTCAAGTAGTGTCCGTCAATGCTGTCCACTATCCCCATTTTTGTTTAACTTCATTATAGACCTGTTGCTGGAAATAACACTCTCTTCGACTGAATTTTCAGGAATTGATCCCCTATCAGGGGATCCACTAATCGACTTAGAATACGCAGATGACATAGTCCTGTTTGGTGAAGACGCTGGGAAAGTGCAGAGTCTTCTGTTGGAACTCAGTAATAATGCCAGGATGTTTGGGATGCGTTTATTCCCATCCAAATGTAAATTGTTACTACAGCGCTGGCCTGCGTCAACACCTAAACTAAGGATAGTGAGTGAGGTAGTCGAACGCGTCGACAACTTCACTTGTCTTGGAAGTCTGATCAGCCCTAATGGGTTGGTGTCTGACGAAATCTCAACCCGGATTCGAAAAGCTCGTTTGACTTTTGCCAACTTATGTCACCTATGGCGAAGACGAGATATCCGTCTATCAATTAAAGGACGAGTATACTGCGCAGCAGTTCGCTCTGTTCTACTTTACGGCTGTGAAACATGGCCATTAAGAGTAGAAGATACTCGTAGGTTACTAGTATTTGACCACAGATGCTTTAGAAATATTGCTCGCATCTGCTGGGATCACCGGGTAAGTAATAGTGAGGTTAGACGCAGGGTATTAGGGAACGATGGTAAATCAGTTGATAAGGTGATTAATCTTCATCGACTGAGATGGTTGGGCCACGTGTTATGTATGCCTGAACACCGATTACCACGACGTGCAATGTTGACTAGTATTGGGGATGGTTGGAAGAGAGTTAGGGGCGGCCAAACCAAAACATGGCATCAGTGCTTGAAGTCACTAACTTCTAGTCTGAGCCATGTTGGCAGATGCAGACTACCTGGTTGGGGTCCGCGCGACTATCGTAACCAATGGTTGGAGACTCTAGGTGACATGGCTCAGAATCGATCACAATGGCGTAGGTGTATTTACTCTTTATCTTCCCTTAAACCTTGAGACTAAAATTGCTTCATATCTCTCTTTTTTCCTGTACTATATCCTTATATACAACCTATAATTTATATACTACTACCAACACTAAATTAACTACTATGAATCTGGTGTTCATCTTGTTGTGCTAACGAGGTATGGTAACTTGGACCGATGCATATATGTGCCTGGTCCTACGTTGTAGCTGACTGACTGGTTCAGTCAAAGTACGTATCCATGCTTGGACAAAGAAACAACGCTGATCCTAGTACCACATATTGCTGCTGCACGTAAGTAACGTGTGAGTCAGGTGGTCGATGACCAGCTCCGTGTTTTGACCTCAATAACATAAATTCAGATACTGTAACATATCAGACAATAACCCAATCGACAGAGCATAACATGCCTAACGACTGAAATGTTAAAACAACTCATAAAAACATGAAGTTTATTGAACTCATTTTTAAATCGTTTAGTTTATGCTTCTTCGTTATCTTCTTCCTCGAATTCCCCTTCCTCTTCGGCTGTTGCATCTTGATACTGTTGATACTCGCTGACGAGATCGTTCATATTTGATTCTGCCTCTGTGAACTCCATTTCATCCATACCTTCACCTGTATACCAATGTAAAAAAGCCTTGCGTCGGAACATAGCAGTGAACTGCTCACTAACACGCTTGAATAGTTCTTGAATGGCGGTACTGTTTCCGATGAAAGTGACCGACATTTTCAAACCTCTTGGTGGAATGTCACACACAGCTGTCTTAACGTTATTAGGGATCCATTCGACAAAATAGCTTGAGTTTTTGTTTTGAACGTTAAGCATTTGCTCATCAACTTCTTTCATTGACATGCGACCTCTAAACATTGCGGCGACTGTTAGATATCGTCCGTGGCGCGGATCGCAAGCAGCCATCATATTTTTTGCGTCAAACATTTGTTGAGTTAATTCAGGTACTGTAAGAGAACGATACTGCTGGCTACCACGGCTAGTAAGAGGAGCAAATCCGGGCATGAAAAAGTGAAGGCGTGGGAATGGTACCATGTTTACAGCTAATTTTCTCAAGTCAGCATTCAGCTGACCAGGGAATCGAAGACATGTTGTAACACCTGACATAGTCGCACTAACCAAGTGATTTAAGTCACCATATGTTGGAGTGGTGAGCTTCAAAGTACGGAAGCATATGTCATACAGTGCCTCATTGTCAATGCAGTATGTCTCATCAGTGTTTTCTACAAGCTGGTGAACTGAAAGAGTTGCGTTGTACGGTTCCACAACAGTATCAGATACCTGAAAATATGATTACAAATAATTGAGTTTACCTTGGGTGATGGAACGACTGAGAAGTTATTCATAATACGGTCTGGATACTCTTCACGGATTTTAGAAATAAGTAATGTCCCCATGCCCGAACCAGTACCCCCTCCGAGAGAGTGGGTGAGCTGAAAACCTTGAAGGCAATCACAGGATTCCGCTTCTTTGCGAACAACATCTAAGACGGAATCTACCAACTCAGCACCTTCGGTGTAGTGGCCTTTTGCCCAATTATTTCCAGCACCACTTTGACCGAAAACAAAATTATCTGGCCGGAACAACTGCCCAAAGGGACCAGCACGTACACTATCCATCGTCCCAGGTTCTAAGTCAACCAGAATAGCACGAGGCACATACTTTCCGCCGGTTGCTTCATTGTAATATACATTTATACGTTCTAGCTGTAGATCAGAGTCTCCGTGGTATGTGCCAGTTGGATCAATACCGTGTTCATCCGAAATTACTTCCCAAAACTAAAACCATAAATGAATTGAATTTATAATATTATATCACCTCACCTTTGCGCCAATTTGGTTGCCACACTGACCAGCCTGAATATGAACGATTTCGCGCATCCTAACAAGACATACGCGTCACTGAAACAAATAGCGAGCCAGAAGTTTGAATGAAGTTGCCAGCGGCACAAAACAATAACTCGATGGTTATCATGGTTACAGTCCATAATAAAACATAAACAGTTAAAACAAACCCATATATTTTCCACCACATCGAGTATTCTCGAGTTTCTCAAAGTCATATTTCTGTGAACTTCTGCAAGCTTTATAAAACGCTTTATCAGATGAGTTCGTGTATTCAAATTCAGGGGTGACCCTCTTATGACTTGAAGCACCATAGATACACTTGACTATCCAATTAAATATCTATTTAGACCCAGTACTAATTCAAATTTCGGGGTAACATCCAGAAACTAAAGACAGTAAAACAGAATGGACTGTAGTCACACATTTTTTTCTTTCTGAGAACTCAAAATCTAAAATTTGATGCTATCTGATCTAGTCACAAGGACTTGATAGGAATGCTATTATCATATTATTAGGGAGCGATGACAGTGTTGCATTATTTTGAAAGTACCACTGGTATTCAGAGATTGACAGTGTCTTAACCAGTACTCGTAGAAGTCAGTCTCTGCGTAATAGAAACAGGCTTCGATGTTGTCTGGTTAAAAAGGCATTGTCTGAAATAATGGTGGGTTCATAGTCTTTAACCTAAGTACCTTAGGTGTCTGTTCAGTCATAGCAGGTATGAAAAGCAGGAATGAACGTTTAAAAAAGATATCCAAAAACACGAAATAAATGTAGACCATCAACGCTGATGATCTGTGTCGAATGTTCGGAGGCCCACTCGAGTATGACGGACACGGTGTAACAAACAAGCTAACGTCGAAGTCACACCTCGCGATCAGCACTTTAGGTGGATTGCCCCATCGACCCATCAAGGGACCATGGATGCTCTGAAGACTGTACAACACAAAGGACGTTATTACAGGAATATATTAGTTAAAGTAGATGCGAGCGAAAGTAGAACCACTGCCGCATGGGCCAGTCCATGGCGCATGATCAACTGGTGCGCGTTGATTGTACTTGACTTTGATAGGGATCGATGATCTGTTCGATATTTAGTGACCCAACTGCCGGATGATTTGGCTAGCGTTCACTGACATTTCACTGACCCTACAACAAGTATCACAATATATAAAAATTTAAATAAAGCAATGATTTCTGAGATTCCAAAAAGGGGCAGACTCACAGTTTGCGAGTCGGTGTACGAGATTACGTCAAACTCACCAATGCAGATGCCATAGGTATTTTTAGTTTGACAACATTTTCACCAGCAAGACTTTCTGTAATTGAATCATGCCCACCCAGTGAAATCAAAAGTCAGTATTTTGGAGTTTCGAAGACGTATTTGGTAGGTTATCAATATATCGAGTCCTTGTCGTCCAATTATATCTTCATATCCGTTGCCGTCCACCCATGACATGGTATTCAGGTCTCCCATCAAGATGGTCAGGTCCTTTTCTGAGCACATAGTTATGAATGATTGTGGCCTCTCGTAAAGCTAGCCTTTGAAGTCGTCATTGCTATCATTGAAGGGTGCATAACATTAGATAACATTCATTGTGATCTCCTACTTCTTTGTTTTTTTAGAATTTTCTTATGATTCCGTGTCCGTGAGATTCCCATCGTATAAGTGCTTTACGTGCTCCTTTGGAGAGCATCACAGCAACTACCTGAGTGTTCGGAGCATTTTCCTCTTCGTTACCGGAGTACAGCAGCATCTCTTTTAAATCTACCATTTTTTGTCCAACTTGGGTTCAGTGGGTTTCACTTATTCTAAGCACCGCTAGGTTGCATCTCTTCATTTCCACGGCCATGAATGGTCTTCCAAGTCTTGCACATTGTCCGGACATTTCATGTGCGTATGTTAATTGTTGCGCTAATTGTAAAAAAGGCATCACTTTATGACTTTCGAAGAATCTTGGATTTAACCATGTGGTGTCATAATCCTTCCTTTAACTCTCAGGGCAGAGTTTAAATGGTTTGAACTATTTTTTCTGGTTAGCGTTTTCTTAGCGAGTTTGTTTTCTACGGGAAGGTGTCGTTAAACCCATGCTCGACCCTTCTTCTCTACCTAGGCTTGGGACCGGCAGTGACTCCAGAAGAGCGACAGGTTGTGGCGGACCAAAATGTTTGATAACCAAAAAAATTAGCAACAAAAATATTATGTCTATAGTTTATGTAACAATTAACAGTTAATAAGTAATTACACACAAAAATAACAAAATAAGGGACGTTACTTAAGTCTTCAGGCTATTGCGTGTTTGGCTGGGTTTGGTCCAGATACTCCACAATTATAACAAAATTATTAATCCCAATATGGACGATATAGATCCAGTAATTTTACCAAGCGTAGAATCCAATAAGAATGTCGCAATTGTCTATAAACGTAGATGGTATGCAATTAATATTTCATTCAACATATTAGCAGACAGGGCAGAACGATGCAGACGTGAATTAGAGTGTATTTATTGAGGAGAATTAACAGTGGCACGGTATGTTGTACTCACAACGGAAGGAAAGTGTGTTACAAGCGTTCAATGTAATACAGTTAAACAACAAGTACAATTGTTTAATGCTTAATGTACAGAATATGAAAATACATGCGATAACTATGAAAAATTATTTACAAAATAGGTTTTTAAGGTTCTATCTCCACATAGCTCCCCCCAGAGTGTCCGGAGGTAACACTGATTACAATATGAACAACAAAAATTGAGAAATATTGTATACAAATGTACATAAAATAGTATTTACTGTAATAACGGAAAAAAAAATGGTGGAGATAGGAATAAATGGCGCGTTAATAGTATACGCTATGCTACGCAAAATGAAACTGAAGAACAAACATTACAAAGTTTCGGTTTGGTAATAATAATAATAAAATGTGAAAAACTGTTAATAGTCATAAAAAAATGGATGAATTTAATAAATAGTTAGTTAGCATTCACTCGTTTATTACTATAACAATTTTTTCTTATTAAAAAAAATTGGCAAAACCAGTGATAACAAATAAATGTAGTTATTAAATGTACATGTAGGGAAAATAAATATCTTTTATTAGAAGATTGCGTAACTTCACAAAGTAATGCATACAACTGATTGATTGTGTTAGTCCATAAAATGTATATAACGTTTGGGTTTTTTAATAAGTCTCCCAGATCGTGTTAAACAAGAGGGTGTAGTGCTGAGTTTTTCCTCTTCCTCTTGTTTCTTAACAATTGATGGGAGTGATTGTTTGTTCGCCGTATTGTCATCAGTGGCTTGAGGGGGTTCGTAGAAAGCTGGTTTAATTCGGTCTATGGAAATGGTTTCATTGTTTCCGTTTTTGTTGATAATGAAATATTTGCAAGTGCGTTTTATTACTTTATACGGACCTTCATATGGTGGTGTTAGTGGCTTTTTCACCGCGTCTACTCGAACAAAAACAAATTTGCACGTTTCTAAATGTTTGTCGAGATGGACTGGATTGTTGTATTCTCGCGGTGGTATTGCTCTAATGTTCTGCATCACTTGTAATAGGCAACTTGCGAAATGAGTAGCATCTTCTTGCGTTGTAGGTTCACAGTTGACTAGTTGGCCCGGTAACGTTAGAGCTGTACCATAGACTAACTCGGCGGGTGTATAACCTATGTCTTCTTTCACCGTGGCACGAATCCCAAGGAGAACAAGCGGCAAGGCATCACTCCATTTTGTTGAATCAGTTTGAGCCATGAGTGAGCTTTTTAATTGCCGGTGAAATCTTTCAACCATGCCGTTTGCTGCCGGGTGGTAAGCTGTGGTTCTGATGTGTTTTACGCCCAGAAGTCTTGTGAACTCCTGAAACAGGATAGACTGGAACTGAGGACCACGATCAGTTGTGATGGTTGTCGGTACACCGTAGTGCGATATCCATCGGTCTAGTAAAACGGATGCTACAGTCTCAGCTGATGTGTCTTTGATGGGGCATGCAATGGCCCATCGAGTGAATCTGTCTATTGCCGTGAGGATGTGAGTAAAAGAATTTGACGAAGGTAGAGGTCCTACTAAATCTAAATGGATGTGCTGAAAACGTCTATCCGGAATAGGAAATTTTCCGATTGGACTAATAGTATGCTTTTGGATCTTACTACGTTGACACTGAAGGCAACCACGTGTCCAACGTTTAATATCTGAATTGATTTTCGGCCAAACAAAACGTTCAGTTATCAGCTTTGTAGTAGCTCGGATGCCCGGATGTGATAAACCATGCAAGTGTTGGAATAACTTTAGTCGACAAGCCTGAGGGACAAAAGGGCGATTATTGCCTGTTGAAGTGTCACAAATTATGGATGCGTCTGAGAAAGGAATAGGTACCGATTTTAGGTTCAAGCTAGACTTTTCTCTACAGACCTTCAATTCTGCATCGTCTGCTTGTAATTTGGCTAAGGTTTCAAGTTTGATGTCCTGATTAAGTACCGTCATATTGATATCCTTTCCAGACAATGCGTCTGCGACAATGTTGGTATGGCCTTTGATAAACTGGATGTCTGTGGTGAATTGCGAGATATAATCGAGTTGTCTCGCTTCACGTGGAGAGTGTCTATCATATGACATATTAAATGAGTAACACAGGGGTTTATGGTCCGTCATAATAGTAAAGTCACGGCCCTGTAGTAGAAAATTGAAGTGTTTGACAGCTAAGTACATAGCTAAAAGTTCTCGCCCAAATGTGCTGTACCGCTCTTGGGCAGGTGATAACCGTTTAGAGAAAAAGGCGATTGGCGTAATCGTGTTATTAACCCGTTGTTGTAGCACTGCCCCTACAGCTTTTTGGGATGCGTCCGTACTCAGGATCAGATGCGTTTGGGGGTCAGTGTTTAGGTGTTGTAGCATAGTAGCATCAGCGATCAAGTTTTTCGCTTTTTCGAATGCCATTTTGACGTCAGAGGATAACTGGAATTGTTGGTTCTTCTTTTTGCTACACGATTTATCATTTTTAAGTAGATCCGTTAAGGGTTGTAGCACATCGGCACAATTGGGTAAAAATCGTCGATAAAAATTTAATGTTCCAAGGAAACGCCGTAGTGATTTTATTGAGGTTGGTTCTGGGTAGCTGATTATGGCTTTGACTTTCTCTTCAAGTGGTTTAATTCCTTGAGAATCAATGTGATGTCCCAGGAATTCCAGTGATGATGCGCCAAATATACACTTTGAAGGGTTGATTACAACACCATAACTTTTGAAACGTTCAAAAAGCGTGTGTAAGTGTTGAATATGTTCTTCAGTGGAAGAGCTAGCGATCAAAACATCGTCGATATAGACAAACACAAAATCTAATCCTCTAGTTACTTCGTCCATAAATCTCTGAAAGGTTTGAGCGGCGTTTTTAAGTCCGAAAGGCATCCTCAAGAATTCAAACAAGCCAAAAGGTGTGATAACGGCTGTTTTTTCGATATCCTCAGGTGCCATCGGTATTTGATGGTATGCTCGAACGAGATCTAACTTTGAAAAAATCTGTTTTCCATGTAGGTTTAACGAAAAATCATGTAGATGAGGGATCGGATACCTGTCTGGGATCGTCTGGTTATTCAATCTGCGATAATCTCCACATGGGCGCCAGTCCTGATCTTTCTTGGGGACCATATGCAGTGGCGAGGCCCAAGGACTGTTAGATTGTCTGATTATTCCAAGTTGCATCATATGTTCGAATTCTCTCTTAGCGAACTGCAACTTGTTTGGAGGGAGTCTTCTCGCCCTGGCGCAGGTGGGTGGTCCGGTGGTAGTGATATGGTGTTGCACCAGCTGTGGGTTACTCTCCTTTTGGTAATCTGATTTCGTAATACACTGGTATTCTGTTAGAATGTCGTTGAAGATGTTGTTCACAGGTTTCATTATTCGAACACCCTGGATCTCGTTGTCATTGGAGAGCGCAACATTTACCTGTAAACGTGTGTTTACGTCGATTAGTCTCTTGTTGGTCATATCTACTAACAGGTTGTACGCACTAAGAAAATCAGCCCCGAGGATGGGTCGTTTGACTTGGGCAACTATGAATACCCATGTGAATCTTCTGCGGAGCCCGAGGTCTAATATAAGAGATTGTTCTCCGTAAGTTTTGATAACTGATTCGTTAGCCGCTATTAAGGACAATTTAGTGCTTGTTGTCTGTTGTCTGCGGGAGAGATGGAGTGGGATGATGCTGATTTCTGCTCCAGTATCGACTAAAACGTCCGAGCCAGAAATGCGATCCCTGACGTGAAACAGGCGGCTAACATGTTGGCCAGTAGCAGCTGCCGCCGTTACTGTCTGGCCGCTTCGTTTCCCTGATAGACTGGGTTGGTTGTCTTAAAGTTGCACGGTTTTGTGCAACAACGTGCTTTCTCACCATACTTCGAATGATACCAACACATTCCGGCTGCCCGCTTAGGTGACCTAAGACGATGTCTGGATACTGATCTCCTTCTGGACATAGATCTGGGAGGTCGAGAATGGATGGTGGCAACAGTCGCCTGCAGTGATGCTAGCTGCTGTGTTAACAGTGTTATTTGTTGTTGGATGTTGAGTGCGTCGCTCATGTTTTCTGCATTTGAGGATTGTATCGCGCTAACGCCGTGACTATCAGAATATATTTCTATCATCTTATCAGCCATGTCTGCTAAATCATCAAGACTGACAGAGGCTCCTGATATGCTGAGGATTTGTCTGACGTTATATGGTAACCTTTGTAACCATATCTGCTTAAGTAATGCTTCGTCTAACTTGTAAGGGCCTGATAGTTGTCTCATATGTCTAAGCAACTGTGAAGGTCTTTTGTCCCCTAACTCGCATCCGGTGAGTAGTTGCTGCAAGCGTTTTTCATCAGACTGCGAAGTACGGTGGATCACTGCAGCTTTTATTTTGTCATAGGGGTCCGTTTCTGGTACGTTATCTATCAGGTCACTGACTTCCGTTGCAACATCTATAGGTAGTGCCCCGACGATGTGGGCATATTTAGTCGCTTGTGAACGTATGCCCCTCACCAAAAATAGTGCCTCAACTTGTGCAAACCAGATTCTGGGATTATTAACACCATATGTTGGTAATCTCAGTTCAGAAATAGTGTTGATTGAGTTTAAAACATTATGTTCTGGCGGTGGTGGATGAAAGGAGTTGGTTAATGAGCTATCAATATCGATAAGTTTATTAGGGGAGTCCATAATGTCAAAAACAAAAAATGGGATCGTGCCGATTAATAAGAATACTAAATTATGTAGCTATATATAGTAAATGTCTATAAAGAGATAATCGAGGCTCACCAAATAATTGTGGCGGACCAAAATGTTTGATAACCAAAAAAATTAGCAACAAAAATATTATGTCTATAGTTTATGTAACAATTAACAGTTAATAAGTAATTACACACAAAAATAACAAAATAAGGGACGTTACTTAAGTCTTCAGGCTATTGCGTGTTTGGCTGGGTTTGGTCCAGATACTCCACAATTATAACAAAATTATTAATCCCAATATGGACGATATAGATCCAGTAATTTTACCAAGCGTAGAATCCAATAAGAATGTCGCAATTGTCTATAAACGTAGATGGTATGCAATTAATATTTCATTCAACATATTAGCAGACAGGGCAGAACGATGCAGACGTGAATTAGAGTGTATTTATTGAGGAGAATTAACAGTGGCACGGTATGTTGTACTCACAACGGAAGGAAAGTGTGTTACAAGCGTTCAATGTAATACAGTTAAACAACAAGTACAATTGTTTAATGCTTAATGTACAGAATATGAAAATACATGCGATAACTATGAAAAATTATTTACAAAATAGGTTTTTAAGGTTCTATCTCCACAAGGTGGAGTTACGATATTCATATGCTCTAGAATAATTCTTGACGAACCAGTAAATGTGTTAATGGCAACCAGTCCAGTCACAGATGACGTTTTTCCTCGTCATTGATTTTTCTATTCAATGGTTTTGGAAATTTCATCGTATATAAGTGAAAGATTGTTGATTGACTAGCATATTGTACGTAGAATGAGTTTCTTTTGTCAGAAACATGAGTTGTAAAAATAACCGTTAGAAATAGCTATTGGCAAATAATTTCGATGCGACTATATCAAAACTATACGATAGACTTCGGTTAGTGGTGTCTTTTCTGAATGACTATATTACTACTGCCAAGAAACATTATTTATTATTATTATTTTTTTAATTATTATTATTAGCTTTATTCAATATTATATTATTTGGTACAAAATCGAATTCTCAGCATAAAGTATTTCAACGTGTTTACGTTTCTTATTTCTTCGTCTATCCTGACGATAAATATTCAGTGATCGCCAGTTAGATGTCAGCAGTTCAGTCAATCGAAATATGAAAAATGTATATTCTTTTTGTTGCATGTTCCCAGCAAACACGATATCTCTGATTAGGCCTTTTGTAACCTGAATAGGTTGTGTGCCTAATAGCCATAATGATGTATTAAAACAAACAATATTGGATAACTTGTTGAAATATATAAATGACAGGAACAGGTAGCCCAGATGTTTAAGCAGGCCGCCCTGGAACAGAAAAATGTGAGTGTTTATGCATCAGAAATCAGCACAGTTAATAATTAAAAATTTATTGAATTAGTTAGGCTTTCTTTTTAGAAACCACAAACTGGTGGTGGACATGAAGTTAAGGAGATGATGACAATTATAGTTTATTAGTAATAATGTTAGCTTAATTAAAGGTCACCTGTCGACTTAATTTATTTAAGAATCCATAACCTATGATAATGGTTACCATCCAGTGTCCAGTTATTATCTCTCAATGATATCACTTAGACAACTAATGATATCCAAGATGTATGAGTGATTTAGCTGGTTCGAATTTTGAACTTTCAGAAGGTGGAAGGTCTATATATCATGAGAAATGGTAGATACATATAGTATATTGGGCTTTTGTAGCAATATGGCAGCTGAAACATATGTGTTTTATGTAAGATAAAATCGGATATCCGAATTATATTTCAATTACGGACATGAAATTGCTATTAGACATCTGGAATAACGAGTTGTCTATGCAGACATGTTTTGCATCACTGACTTCTAGAACACTATAGGAATTTTTGTTTGACAAACTCCATGTGATCACCGACCAGAAAAATTTGCAAATTGTGGAGAAGTTGAAAATATTTAGTGGTAAATTTATTCCATGTGGTAGGCAAGATGTATGAATCCAGTAACAGTGTGAAGGGGAATCAATGGAAAAAAGACAGGTTATATTCAGTGATTATTACGTCATAAAAACTGTTTCTATCCAAATGAATCAATAGGTTTTGATGGTCTCAGATCCATGGAATAAAACAGGTACTTAAAAATATGGTTGATGATAAAGCGAAGTGTTGACAGTAATTTTCCGTGATAACTAGGAGCATTTGAATTATAGTATAAACTAGTAATTCCAGAAACAATGCAATTTATTCAGGAAGTATTAGATT